GATTGACATAGGATGGCATTTGATATTTATTTAAGCATTTATTAATTTCAACTTGTACTTTTTATATTTGAGGCAATGATAATTTGTAGGTATCAGAGAGTTTGTGGGCCCTGTGAGTACGCAAAGGCCTTGGGCCCTGTGCCTGCAGGACAGGCTGCAAGTCCAGCTGTACCTTGATGGTTCCAATGGATTATGGGCCTGAAACATTTTTGGTATCAGCAAGCAGACCTGGCCTATCTTCTCCTAAGATACTGCCAAGGTGTTGGAGACAGATCCTTCTAGGCACAGAGGTCCCAGGTGATGGTCTTAATTCTAGGCTTATACTCCCTGGAGAGACCACTTGGATCCCAGGGACATAAAGTCCTTCCATCTGTGGGAGCTGACATGCATGACTGTTCCTCCATATGTGAGGACTATTTGGTCCTGCAAGTGCTGGTCCTGTGCCCATGGAATGGTGTCCATATGACCCCTACGGGGTCATCTTTGATGTTGGGCTGGGATCTGGTAAGTTCCTGTGGCTGCCCAGAGGCCACAGGGCTTCTCCATAGACGCCAGCCACTCGCTCCCTTGGCTTCCAGCCTTCTTAGTGGTAACTCTGCTGGCTTCTCCTCCCTAAAATAGGACCCTAGCTAGAGAGAGTTCTGGAATGGACTCAGTATGCCCCCTCTCCCTTGGCCAGATTTCAGATGCTGGAGTAGAGAACAGGGGACTCCAGGGACTGCTCCCCCTTCCTGTGAAAATTTGATTTTGGGGCGATAGGAAGGAGAGGAATGTGGGAAACAAGGATGCTGAAGATGCTGGGCTGGGTGAACCAGAGGCCATTGGGATAGTTAGTGTGGCTGGGACAGAACCCACCTGGCTGGCTCCCTATGTAGTTGCAGGGCGAGAGTTTGGTGGAGGCTGAGGAAGTGTCTGTCTGGGTTTAAAGAGGGCTAAGTCTGGCTCTGTGTCCTGGGGCTGGATAGAAGCGTGGGGCCAAGGTTCCCTCCTTCCCTGCTTGACTGTTGGGGCCTCCCTGCCCATTTTCCTCCCAGGAGAGCCTAGTGCGGTGGGAACATTTTTCTTACCATTGGATGAGACTGTGTGTTTTCATCTACCCCACTAGAAGTCCTGTAACTACCAGCTTCCTACCTGCCCATTACAAGGCCAGAAACAAGCACTTTCTGACCCAAATCACTGCCCTCCAGACCAGACTTACAAAGGGCACCAAGAACAATGGAGGCCATTCTCTGGCTAATCCAGGTCTAAAGCAAATCTCCTCAGTCCTATCTAGGCTATTAAGGCCAAAAGATCCACTTCTAGGTGTTTGGGAGCTTGCATCATAGAGATATTCACCTGAAGTCTGTCCAAGAACTGGAAACACACACACACAAACAAAAAAAGAACTGGAAACACAGCAAGAAGGGGCCCCACTGGTAGAGAGAATGAAAAGTTGTTTGCTTAGTGTCCCTGCTGTTGTGAGTGGGTTGAGGGGGGTGGGCAGGGGAGTTAGAGACATGCTGTCTGCAACAAGAAAAATTCATTTCAAGATTTTCAGGGCTGGAGTTTGCACAGGGCTAGCCAAGCTGGAAGCATACTGCAGTTGACACTGTCCCAACTCTGCCCTCTAAGATTCAGCACAAGAGGCTCCCAGAGAAGGTGGGGCTGGCCTGCAGGGGTTCCAGATTCAAGGTAGTGAGGGGTGAGACACCAAGAGTTAAGTTGTTCTGGGCCAGAGGCTTGTCCTTACCTGCCTTAGGGGCTGGCTGGTTCCATAGTGCATGAACACCCCCAACCCCACCACACACACACACACACACACACAAACATGCATACACACTACCCCAGTTGCTTCAGTATTTTTCAATCAGCCCAAAATTCCTCCTGGGGAGTTGCTGACAACAAGGAGACTAGATAAGTGTTAAAGCCATGAGTTCTGAGTGACTCCTGAGTACTTACAGTGTGGCTACTCTGAACTGAGAGGTGCTGGAAGAATATAACACTCACATACCAGATTCAAAGTCTTTGGTATGAAGACTTAGTACCTCCCCCAAAAAACAAAGACTTGGGGAGGGAACTATCTCAATATCTCATTAATAACTTAATATGTTTTTTTTAAAGATTTATTTATTTATGCACACAAGAACTGAGGTACAGGCCAGAGGTGTGGGAAGGTGAGAGGATTCACCAGAGACAGAGTGGTGAGCAGAACAGGCAGACTAACTGAAATACACTGCTGAGGGGAGCAGCAGGCGAGTCAGGAGAGGTCTGCTGCGCCATGTGGGTAGCTCCCTGGCTGGGGATCGAACTCGTGCTTCAGTGGCTGCGGATAGCTTCATAGGTTGTGTCTTAACCCTTGTGCCACCACGGTGGCCCAACTTTGTATGTTGATTACATGTTAAAGTGATAACATTTTGGATACATTGGGTTAAATAAAATATATGAGAATTAATTTGATTTAAGAGAATTTAATCTGGTTATTAGAACATTTTATATATTTAAAAAATTTTATTCAAGTAACACTGGTGTATAATGTTATATATAGGTTTCAGATTATAACATTTTAAATAAATAACTGTATAGACTAGGTTATGATGGCCACCAAAAGTCTAGCTTCCATCTTTCAATGTACAGTTGGCCCTAAGCTATCTACCCTCCATCCCTTCCCTCATGGTAAACACTATTAGGTAGAATATTTTAAATTATATATGTGTGACTTGCATTGTGTTTCTTTTGGGATATGTGAAAGCTTTGGATATATATAAGGCATTAAAGGGTTAAAGTCACAGAGTCTGGATAATGTGGGGTACTCCCCAACACCACCTCTACACCTATCCAGACGGGGTTCTCAGAGTCCCAGGTTTTCATCTCAGGGATTTGGGAGTTTGAGATTTTTTTTGATTTTCTCTCTTCAATGATCTCTAAAAATTATCTTTTGCAGATAATTTTGAGATAATATTTATTAAAAGGGGCTTTCATAGTATAAGACTTTCATTTCTAAAGGCAGGTTTCTCCAAAGCAAAACAAAAACAAACCCCTAGATTCTGATTTCAGAACTGAGGTTACCAGAGGGGTGGAGGAGAAGGGAAAAAAGTGTACAGGGGGCTCAGGGGACGGTGGAGGAGTATTAGTACTTGGTGGTGGGTGTGGCGTGATGACACACACTTATAGAGGTGTAAACCTGTACTCCTAAAACATCCACAGTCACAGTGTTCTAAACCAAAGTTACCTCAATTTAAAAAAAAGAAAGAAAGAAGTGGGGGGAGTCAGAGGTTCTCAAACTGGAATTCTCTCACATTCATAGGACATGCTTTTTTAATAGCTCCATACTCAAGTTTAAAAACTAATGTTCTCAGGGCCTCCCCGGTGGCACAGCGGTTGAGCGCTGGGTTGCGAAGCTGCCTGCAGCCTCTGCAGCGCCGGTTCGATCCCCGGCTGCTCCCCGGCCACCGGAGGAGGGTCCCACATGGCGCACAGACCTCTCCTGCCGCCCGCTGCTCCCCTCAGCAGTGTACTTCGGTCCTTCTGCCTGCTCTGCTCCCCGCTCTGGCTCTGGTGAATTCTCTCACCCTCCCGCGCTTCTGACTGTACCCAGTGCTTGTATAAATAAATAAATAAATAAATAAATAAATAAATAAATAAATAAATAAATAAATCTTTAAAAAAAAAAAAAACAACTAATGTTCTCAGACCTCCCCTTCATGGATGGTGTGGTGATACACCAGCCCTTGCCTCTAACCTCTGCATCCCCCAGTTCTCCCTATGCCTGACTCCCATCAACATCCCCATCCTTTCCCCTCTCCTGCCCCCCAAACCAGGGAAGGGGCAATCCCTGGGAGAGATGAGTTCTCCACCCCTTCCCAGCAACTCAGAAAGCCCCCCTTCCTCTCCAGCATCCATCCTGGCCACTGTTTTCATGAGCCCCTTAAAGATGGAGTAATTGAACTGTCAGTTGTCTGGGGTCCTCTTACCACCCGTCTTAGTGTATCACCCACCCACTGCCAATAAGTTTGGGGGCAGATCTCTGTGACAGCCCCTCTTGCCTTGTCCCCATGCCCTTTCCTCTCCCTAACTGTCCAGCCCAGAGGCTGTGCACTTGAGAAAATCCTTTTAAGGCCAGCAACTTAAGCCTTCCCAGGTTCACCACTAGGAATAAAGAAGGGAAACCCTTTGCCTCAACACAGGATAGGCAAGAGTTTCAACTGAGGCTCATTAAAGGTTTTTAATAAACAATTAAGTCAAGGAATGAGTCTGCTGTTGGGGCTGGCACTCCCTCCGCCCTCCTCCTCTACTGGAATTCCTGGTAGAGAAAGGCTGAGTGGGTGGATGGAGTGGGTTCAGCCAGTTTGGGGCCTCTTCCTCCTCCCCTAAACACAAACGTATAAATAAACAGAACTCCAAGAGGGCAGAAGCAAAGACAGAGAGGCCTGAATTTCCCCAGGCCCAGAGCTCTATCAGTTTTCTGTCAAGGCTGCTGACAGGCTTGGGAGGCAGGACCTTGGGGTGATGGGCGCCTTTGCTGGGTAAAGTCGCTTCCACGGAGGTCCTCTGCTCACAGAAGGAGTGTTTGAGACCTGGCTAGGCTTTCTGCTCCACCAGCTGAGCCTCGATCTAGTTCAGGCCCTCTTGCCAGAACTACCCTCAAGATGTTGGGCTGCGGGCTTGAGCAAGACAGGGCTATGGAGAGCAAGAAGGGGCCACTATGGGCTCAGTCCCAGGTTCCAAGGTGTAAAGGGGACATTGCAGTGTCAACCTGCTCAGCCCACCAGCACGCAGAGCCTTAAGTCAGCAGGACCTGGGTAGGTGACAAGTCTGACTTGGGGCTCAAAATTCTGCCTAAACCATTCATTGGCTCCTGCCTCTAATCTGGAGCAGAAGGTGGTGCCGCTGCCTTGCACAACCTCAGGGGGCGACATTTATACAGAACACCGCATGGCTCTGAGGGGCAAATGGATCCCTCTTCCATCTGTACTTTCCAGTTTCTAACGGCATGTTCTCCCATTTGTTCTTTGTTCCTTCAGGCTCTTGAGCAACAATAAGATCTCTGGGCTCCGGAATGGGTCCTTCTTGGGACTGTCCCTGCTGGAGAAGTTGTAAGTGTTGGGGCAAGATGGGTGGAGGTGGGGGAGGGTGGCCATGGGCAAGAGGGCACTCCAGGGAGGATGAGGGACCCCACAACCTGCTGGTTAAGCCCGGCGCAGAGTCACACCCAGGGTACCTGCCCCAGACTTGACCACAAGGGGCCGAGCAGAGAAGGGCTGGTCTGGAAGAGAGAAACCTGCACTTCATAAGGACAGCAGAGGAAAGAAGGGAAACCTCACTGCTCCAGGCATGAATGGGGCCTAAGAAAGCTCATTAACGCTCCTTAATGAGCAATTAACTGTGAGGTCTGAGCCCCTTAGCTGGCCAGAGGCCGCCTGCTCCTCTCAGCTGGGGGCCCAGTATAAAAGGGCAGAAAGAAGCTACAAGTGTGACTGAAGCCTCTTTCCTTCTCTTCTAAAAACAAATCAATAAACAAAGCCTCCCTGAAGGGCCAGAGCCCTGGGCTGAAGATGGGGAAAGAATCATATACAAACTCCCCCACCATACCCCCACCGCCCCAGTTTAGAATTGTATCCCCAGCAGCGTCCCAGGTTGGCCTTGACTCACAACTGCAAGGGCCCTACCAGCCTGAAAGAAACTCCTTCGGAAGTTTCAGACTGAACTCCTGATTCAGTCACCAGAAATTCACTTAACCTGCCAAGTTCTGGAACTTGAATCATCCCCTCTAAATTCCCCATTCAGTTGACATGTGCTCCAGGAGCAACTTTGGGTGATATCTCCTCCATGGAAGACCAGGCCTCCCATCTTCCCCAGAAGCTGATTCCTGCTTCTCCAATCCAGCCCCCTCTCTGCTCCCACCCTGCTAGGCATTCCCAATGTCTCCAGCCTTGTCCCTTCGAATGCCATCTTGCCTAAAGGCTTGGATCAGTGAGAAGAAGGATACAAACAAGAAGCAGAAGCGATCAGTCTAGTGGCGACTGCAAACAATGTCATACATACTAGAAAAGTGCAGGCTGAGGTTTCAGTAAAGTCCAAAGGAGGGGTCAGTGACAGCTAGGAAGTTCAGGGATGATAGAAATGCAATATCTACATGGCATGGCATTTAGTTCCTTAGCTATGACAGCAGCCTGATGAGGTGGTCTCTATCATACCCATTTAACAAGAGAAACCCTCTAAGGTAGTAGGGAAATGATGGCCTGGCTGGATAGTGGGGGTGGGAAGGAGCCAAGCCCATGTTTGGGGCAGAGGGCAGAACACGTTGTCTGGTCTGGCATGCCGGTGTCTCTGGATGTCGACCATGGGGTATGCACACAGCTCTGTGACTAGGTCCCTTGGACCATGTGCTCTGCAGCTCACGGACAGGGTGGTCCAGACAAGGAGAAAGGGCTGCCACCAAGTAGCTATTTGGAAGTTTCCTTGGGTTCCAGCGAACAGGGAAACCTTTTATCTCTGTAAGAAGTTAAGCATTCGGGAGCTCAAGTTCCTACATTCAGCCCAGGCTTGGTCTTAGAGGGCTGAGTGGCAGGAAACCAGAAGCTCCTTCCAGGGATCTTTGGAGGAAGACAAACCGCAGATGCATCCAGCCCTTAGCCCTGCCCCACCCGACCAGTCAATGCCCAGTCACGCTCTCTCTTAGCATGAGTGTCTCCACGCTGAGCCCCTGACATGTTCCCATCTTTACCCTTTCACTCTATCAGAATTTTCACTTTATCAGAATAGGACCCTTTCCCTGCCCTTCCCACCCATGCAAACATACAGCATCTGACTCCTCTCCCCAGCCCCCTGCAGTCCTACAGCAGGCAAATTCAAAGCACAGGAAGCACTTGAAGAAAAGTAGGAGAATAATCGTGGAATCATGACCAACTGCTGAGTCAGGTGATGCGGAAGGAGTGCAGAGCATGAGAAAGTATGAGAATTCCAAATCCTGAGTGTGAGCGCCTGCTGTTAGGAATCATCCTAGCCAGTCCTTCTCGAGGTATTGATTGAGTCCCTTCTATGTGCCAAGCTCTGTTCTAGGCATTGGGAGTGAACCTTGTAGACCAATGTGTACCCTTAGGAACTTGTCCTCTATTGAGGGGACCCAGAAAACAGCAGATAAATGTGTATGGTGTCAATATGTGCTGCAAAGAATAAAAAAACAGGGCATAGAAGGCAAGGGTGGGGGGTGGCAGCCAGGTCAAGGAGGGCCTTGATGACATGGTGTCTGATTTGGAGACCCCAGGGAGGGAAGAATCTAGAGGGGCAGAAAAAGCAGTGGGGGAAGGCCCTCAGGTCCTGTGTGCTAGTGAGTTTAAGGAACAGTAGGGCAGTGTGGCTGGGAAGTGAAAAGAGATGAGATTAGAGGGATGCAAGGGTGGGCGTCAGGTTTGGAGCTTCAGTTTCCTCATCTGTGAAAAGGAGGGACAGGATGATTTGTAAGGTACAGAGTGGACTTAAAAATCTCTGCTCTCTGGGTGTGTATGTGATACCCAAAAGTACTGCACGGGAAAGTAAAGATTAAAGAGCCAGTGATGCAGCCGGGATTTCTAGCAAAAGGGGCAGAGGGGTGTGCTATGTTTGGCAGATGCCCACACTTCCCAGGAATGGAAAGGCAGTGCAGGGACTAGAGGACCCCAGTATCTTCAGCCTGACTGGTCACAACTCTGTCAGTAAAGATTCTCCAAAGAAATAGAACCAATAGACTGTATGTGTGTGTGTGTGTGTGTGTGTGTGTGTGTGTGTGTGTGTGTGTGTGTCTTTATATAAATATATAATGGTTATTTTACTTTTTTTTTAAAGGTTTATTTATTTATGCATACAAGATCTGGGGTACAGGCCAGAGATACAGGGGGTGAGAGGATTCACCAGAGACAGAGTGGGGAACAGAACAGGCAGACTGACTGAAATACACTGCTGAGGGGAGCAGCAGGCTAGACAGGGAAGTCTGCTGCACCATGTGGGGTGCTCTCTGGCTGGCCGGAGATCGAACTGTCCTTCACAGGCTGCAGATTTCTTCATAGTGCGGTACTTAACCCCTTGCGCCACCAGGGAGGCCCTTATTTTACTTCTTTAATAAAGAAATTTATTTTAAGGAAATGACTCATAAGATTGTGGGGCCTGGCAAATCTGCCATTTGTAGATAGGCCAGCAGGCTGGAGCCAGGCGGGAGTTGATGCCGCAGTCTTGAGGGTAGAATTTCTTCTCTAGGAAACCTGTTTTAGTTCTTAAGGCCTTCAAATGATCAGCCAGGGCCCACCCATACTATCGAATGTAATCACCTTTATTTAAAGTCAACTGATTGTAGATGTTAACCACATCTGCAAGAAACCTCCAGCAAGCGAAATTAAAATTTGATTATGTCAGTGGGTGCGGCCCAGTGGACATATATAAAACTCACCCTCATAACAAGTATCCCAGGGGTAGGGACATCTTGGGCCTGTCTTAGAGATGCTAATTCATCAGATCGGTGGAAGGGGCCTGGGAATTTTTTACAAGGTATGTAGGCAATTTTCATGTTCATCTGGGGTTGGGAACCAGTAGACCAGATGACCCCTAGACTGTGGGCCTATTCATCACAAACAAGACGCTGTGGCCTGGCGTGCGGTTGGTACTAGGAAACACTGATCTCTCTGTCCTGTCAAGCTCAGGCATCCAGGCTCGGGCAGCCAAGCTCATGGCAGCTTCACATCCCACAGTCCATAAGCAATAAGTCCTGTGGGAGGATTGGGGCCTGGTCTAACAACTGAATTAGTAGATCTGGGCTGCTCCAGAAAACACATTGCCTCCTAGAGCTAAACACCCTCTGACCTCTGAGAGGGGTCATCTGTAAATGGTGGGGAGTAGGCTTGTTAGATCCTCTTTTTTCAGGGCAGGGCTCTGAGGCCAGCAAAAGAATGCAGAGTAGAGGTCTGTATCCCCCCACACTCCCCTTTGTGTCTCCCCATTTTCCCCTCTGTATCCCCTCCACCCTCCTCTCTGTATCTCCCCATCTCCCCTCTGTGTTCCCCACTCTCCTTTCTATATCCCCCACCTCCTCTGTGTTCCCCCACCCTCCCCTCTGTATACTGCTACTGCTCAGCATGGAAAGCAATTTGTTGCCTAGAGAAAAACTCTGGACTTGGGGAGGCCTGGCGATGATATAGGACTCCACTTTGGAGTAAAAAGAGTCCCAGGATTGAGAGGTGGGATCCACCTCTCATTTACCTTCTGGATGTCCATCCAAGTCTGGTTCCTCCCCTGGAATATGGGGCAGTGAATGACTCCCCAACAGGTGGTCATGGGGAGGGATGAGTTCATTGAGCAAGAGAGACTGGGAAGGTGTTTGCTTTCTATAAGTAACCATTCCTTCTAGAAAAGTTCTATGTTGCAAGATGATGTAGCCAATGCCACTCACTGGATAGCATTTGTCAAGTTCCCAGCCGTGGGCAGGCAGTTATGTAGTTGAAACACGCCAGGCCAAAAGTCCTGGCTGATGCCTCATCCTCTGGTCCCTCCTGTCTGCCTAGACACCGCCCCCTCCCCCACTACCACCACCACTGCATTCAGCAGGGAGAAGGACCCCAGACTTTCCAGGACCCCGGGAGCACCCGATTACAGTGAGAAGCCCCCAGGCCTGGAACCATGACGGCCACAGAGCATGTCTGCAAGCAGAAGAGATCGAGGGAGGAGTCTGGGCACGCATGCGTGTGGATCTGTGTGGGTCTGTGTGGCTCTAAGGAGAAGCACACCCCCAGAGGCTTGTGCGCTAGGAGGGAAGGGCCCAGGGAGGGAAGCCTGGTCAGCCCCAGGATGATTTGTCATTGCCTAATGAGATTAATGAGCCCCGGGGGCTGGTATGCAGCAGTGCTGGGGTACTCATTAGAAGCAGATGCTCATGGGAATGATAGCAAGTGGGGGCTGTGGGTGGAGCGAGCTCACCCACCAGGTGGTTTCCATTAATCTGTGGGTGGGGCCAAGAGTAAGGCAGCTGAGCTCTGTTCCCCCTCCCTTTCTCTCCCTTGCTGACTCTATGAGGAATGTGGCAGACTGGCTGCCCTAGGCTCTGACCAGCTGAGGGCCAGGGAAGGGAGGCCTGTGTGTTGGGGAGAGCCCCTGGCTTGCTATTGTAGCCCCAATCTGGCACCGTGTACATGCTCAATAAATACCTGTCGGACATCAGAGACAAGAAGGGCCAGAGGCAAAGGAGGGGGAGGTTGGCTTCGACCATCTAGGATTTTCTCCCGCCTCCAGAAGCTCTCCTCCTCCTCCTCCCTTACAGCCTCTATATCTGCGGGGGTGTTCTGACCACTGCTCAGCTCACCCTAGATTTCTAAAGAACCCTGGAAGTCCTGGAGGGCCCAGGGAAGACGGCTCTGTGGCCTCCTAACCTATAATTTGGTTTTCAAACCCATGAGCAGGGAGGTTTGTGGGGACCAGAGGGAGCCAACTCTGTGCCACCCCACCCTGTTCAAATGTGTGTACACGCTCACACACCCAAGCACAATGTCATACAAACTCACTCACATACTCACTCTTAACAACTTCGGTGAGATATAATTTACATACCATGAAGTTTACCCATTTAAAGTGTATGATCCAATGGTTTTAGTTTATTTACACAGTTGTGCAATCATCATCATTATCTAATTTTAGAACATTTTCATCTTCTCCAAAAGAAAACTTGAATCATTAGTTACTCCCCATACCTCCACCCCCTATTTCCCAGCCCTAAGCAACAGCTGCTAATCTACTTGCTGTCTCTATAGGATAGCCTCTTCTGAACATTTCATATACATGGAATCATGTAATTAGTAATCTTTTGTAACTGCGTTCTTTCACTTATGTTTTCCAGGCCCATCTATATTATAGTATATATCAGAACTTCATCTCTTTTTATGGCCTAATAACATTCCATTGTATGCTACATTTTGTCCATTCATTCATCAGTTAATGGACATTTGGAGTGTCTCACTTTTTGGCTTGTTATAAGCAGAGCTGCTCTGAATATTCCTGTGTGAGTAGTTGCGTGTATGTTGATTTCTCTTGGATGTATACCTAGGAGTGGATTTGCTGGATCGTATGGTAACTCTACTGCCAAAGTGTTTTCCAAAGTTATCATACCATTTTATACTCCCATCACTATTGCAAAAGCATTCTAACCTCTCCACATCTGCACCAACACTTGCTATTATCTGTCTTTTTGATTACACCACTTTAGTCCATGTGAAGTGATATCTCATTGTGGTTTTGATTTGCATTTCCTGAATGACTAATGGTTGAACATCAAGCATTAATTGGTCATTTGTCTATCTTCTTTCAAGAAATCCTTTACAAATCTGTTGCCCATTGATTCAGCTGGGTTATTTGAGTTGTAAGTGTCCTTTATATGGCCAATCCTTTATGGGATATATGGTTTGCATATTTTTTCCCATGGGTTGGCTTTCACTTTCTTGGTGGTGTTCTTTAAAGAGCAAATTTTTAAATTTTTATTAAGTTCAGCTTATCAGTCTCTATTATTGCTTGGGCACACCCACATGCTTACATACTCAGCTTCCTGAGCTTCTATTTTCCCAAGAAAGGTCCTAGGGTATGATTTGCTCCCAAGGCCCCCCCTCACCCTCAGCTTCTGCCTTTGAGGACTCTTCTCCTGCATATTGACACAGATTCAGGGAGAGGGGCATGCCCAGAGTCAAGGGAGCTTGGTCTGGGTTGGTGAGGGGGCCTGGGGAGGGGAGGCTCCTTCCAACACTGCAACTTTTCCGGGTTCCAAGACCAAGGCTCTGTCTTGGGTTTGGGAGTCAGGGTACTGGAGATTGCACATCAATGAAATATTTGTGTGCCCTCATGACCTCACCTAAGAAATGAGGGGATCAGATTGGACAATCCTTAGAAAAGGTTTGCAACCTGGACTCCATAGTCCTCTGAAATTGTATGCACAATCCTGGGTATGGCAGTAGTGCCAGAGTCTTCACCAGATTTCCAAGGATGCACTGAGCCGGATAGGTACAGACCCGCCAACCAATAGGGTCCTGATAGCTCCAAAAGGTAGCTAAATTCTACAGTGATATTTCCTTCTGCCCCTAGGCGGGTACAGCACTGGAGCTGCTTCCCTTACCTTAGGGATCACGAGGCATTGGCTGCACGTAGCCAGACCACCCAGCTGTCAGAACTCAGCACACGGAGCAGCCCCTGGTCTGTGCCCTCCAGAAGTGAGTGTACTACTGAGGACACTCAAGCAGTCACCTCTGGCACCCCTGATGCCACTCTACTGGTATGAGGCAAAGGGGAAAGAATGCCAACACGTGGTGGCAGCTCCCCTCTCAGAAGGCCCCGGCATGGCTTTGGGCAGCAGGAAATCCAGGGCAGGAAACGGCTGGGGCCCAAGCCACCGCCTTGCTCCCATCTGCAGAGCATCAGTGGGGGTGGGGGTTCTCCAGGGGGGGCGGGGAGGAAATGAGAATAAACACAAGTGAGCAGAGAGGGAAGGGGGGGGGGGTTGTGGCCCCAACCCCTTGGCAGCCCATGAAGGGAAGTGACACAATGAGGAATGTGTTTCCCTCTGCCTGTCCCCTGCGTGGGGGTGGAAGGCAGAGCCCTGAGAATGGGCAGACCCCAACAGGGGCCAGGGGGCACATGCTGGAATAGCATAGGAGGGGGGCTCTGAAGGCGGGGGACTGGGCAGCAAAAGGGGGGAGATAGGCAGGAAGGGCAACCCTGAGTAGGCGGGGCACTCATCCGGCTGTCTCTAGGCTCCACTCTGCCTAGGAGTTCTGGGGTCTTCAGCTTCCATGTTCCCTGACCCACCTAGCTGTGGGGCGCCATCCCTGTATGCCTGAGTGTGGAAGCCACCCCTCCTCTAGGAAGCTGACCCCTTCTGGTGACTGTGGCTTTTTTGTCAAGGGACTCAAGATCTTGTAGTCCTTAGGATGAAAGGGTACTGTGGTATGAGGACCCCTGGCCATGGATCAGGCTTAGCAGAGAATTCTAGTTCTCTCCCCTCCTCCTCTCATGTTTATGTCCCCAAGTGAGACTGTTCAAAAACAGGCCCCCTGGTGGGACAGCACCTCCCCATCCTGGACACCCATTTCCTCTCTCCCCAGCAGGGAGCTGGCTCAGTTAACCCCCTCCTGCCCATAATCCAGACATGTCCCCGAGGCGTTGGCAGTTAGAGCCAGGAGCATCTGGCCTGGGGTTAGCCAGGCCTTGGAAAGCATGTTAACCTACACATTTCCACCGATCTTCTTCCTGCCATAGCCCCTTTTGACAGTTTGATTGCAGGAGTCCCCCATCCTCACTGTCTGCCTCATGGATTCCTGGGTGCTAGGATCGGGGTAGAGTAGATGTTAACACTCAGGGAACAAGCAGGGAGGTTGCAGCCCCCTTCCAGGATCCCAGGAGGGGAGGTCTCCGGGTTAGGTTCTCTGGGGCCGCGAGCCTGCTCTGATTTGGCTCAGGAACCCATGGTCACCTAGGCATCTCTCCCCCTGGCTATGCCCAAAGAAAGGACGTGAATAAGGAGAAAGGCAGTGCACCCGCACTCACCATGGTAGTGAGTAGTAGTTCCAGAGAGCTGCCAGTCTGGTGTTGAGCTGGGGGCCAGATGGACAGCAGAGGGTCCTCAATGAGCAGTAATTGTGCCCTCAGCCTTGCCCCCGAAGTTCCCTGAGAGGTGATGAAGGAGAGGAAGAGGTGCACCCTGGACATGTGATTGAGTTTGAGCCAGATGAGACAGACACTACTCTAACAACTTACCTGTAATCACTCTTCCGGGTTGGTGGCCCTTGGCCCCAGGAAGCCCTGGGGGTAATGCCATCTTCTGTCCTGTCCTGCTGGAGCTCAGCCCAGAAGTGGTGCTTCCTTCGCTCAGCACTGTAGGAGACCCTGAAGGTTGGGGGGTAGGAGGTGTGTGGAAGGAAGGTGGGCAGGCCCCCTCAGCCTCAACTCCTCATCTGGAGAATGAGGGGCAGGTCGAGGTGGCTTCCAGCCCCGAGGGGTTGGAGATCCAGGAGAGCAACCAGTGGTCGTCAATGGCCTGCTTCCTCACCTGCCATGTGCGAACTCCAGAGGGACAGAAAGCTGTACAAACACCTCTCCACAGCCAGGCTCAAGATTCTACCTTTGTATAGAAATTCACAAAAGAAATTCACAAAATTGGGCCTCCCCGGTGGCGCAGCGGTTGAGCGCTGGGTTGCGAAGCTGCCCGCGGCCTCTGCAGCGCCGGTTCGATCCCCGGCTGCTCCCCGGCCACCGGAGGAGGGTCCCGCATGGTGCGCAGACCTCTCCTGCCGCCCGCTGCTCCCCTCAGCAGTGTGCTTTGGTCCTTCTGCCTGCTCTGCTCCCCGCTCTGGCTCTGGTGAATTCTCTCACCCTCCCGCGCTTCTGACTGTACCCAGTGCTTGTATAAACAAAACAAACAAACAAGCAAATAAATAAATAAATAAAACATGCCTCTATAGAAAAATAAAAAAAAAAAAAAAGAAATTCACAAAATTCTCAAATGACTCTCAACAGCCCTAGGAGATGTTTAGGACACCTGGGAGGTGGAAGGCAGTGGAACGTGCTCTGAGACCTCCCAAGCTCTTTGGGATTCTGTGTCTTCCCTGCCATCTCTCTGGCCAGTGCCCCTTGGTAGTACTAGAAGAGACCAGTCTAGGGGCAGGCTTCACCATCAACCTCCGAACTAGCACTGAGGGGAGTAGGATTTACTAGGAACTTAAGTTTCCAACACTGGGGACAGTGAGGCAAGGTCCCAGGGGAGCGGTGTGGACCCCCACACCATGGAAGAGGTGTGAGAGCCTTCCCACTTGCCTCCCACAGGGACCTGAGGAACAACGTCATCAGCACAGTGCAGCCAGGCGCCTTCCTGGGTCTGGGGGAGTTGAAGCGCTTGTGAGTGGCATGTCCTGCCCCCAAACCTCCCAGCCCTCCCCTTGCCCCTGGGGAAAATCCGCGCAGCTCCCATAAGCACCCACCCACCTAGTCACCCCACAGTTCCTACTCTCCTGCCCTAGCCGCCCCTCCCCCCATACAGCAGATTGCCTGGGATCAGACAAGTGAACATTTCCACGCCCATCTCCTGTTTCATCCTGCTCCCCACACAAGCCCCAGCCACACGCATGTCCTGCATGAGAGGGTCCAGGCATTTCCATGTGGCCGACTCGCTGAGGTTGTGTGTGTATCTCTAGAGATCTCTCCAACAACCGGATTGGCTGTCTCACCTCCGAGACCTTCCAAGGCCTCCCCAGGCTTCTCCGACTGTGAGTGAGGGTTGGAGAGGGGGGAGGGGAAGTGGAAAGTGCACCCCAAGGAGGGCTTGGGAGGAAGAAGACAGCACCAAGCCACGACGGATTCTTGCACGCTCTTCGCTCCCTCCCTCTCTCCTCTGGCCTCAGGAGATCCTGAGGTCTTATCTCACTGTGTCCTGCTCCCTACAGAAACATCTCTGGAAACATCTTCTCCAGCCTGCAGCCTGGGGTTTTTGATGAACTGCCAGCCCTTAAGGTTGTGTGAGTATCCTTTCCCCGCCTCAGGACTCAGATCCCTGTTCCTTCCCTGCCCAGGAGCGAGACCATCGTGACCATCATGTCTGAGTAGGCAGGACTGACAGTGGCTGAGATGCCACCCTGTTTGCTTTCCCAGGATTGTGGGCAGTGGAGGTGATGCACACACACCCAAGCATGCTCTCTCTAGTCTCAGTCTTCCTTCCTGGGGCTCCATCCCCAGCCCATACATTGTGCCCCCCACTACTCCATGGCTCCTGTACCCACTCTGCAGGGACTTCGGCACCGAGTTCCTGACATGTGACTGCCACTTGCAATGGCTGCTGTCCTGGGCCCGGAATCAATCCCTGCAGCTGTCGGAGCGTACACTCTGTGCTTATCCCAGTGCCCTGCATGCCCAGGCCCTGGGCGGCCTACAGGAGGCCCAGCTTCGCTGCGGTGAGCCAATCCCTACCCTACCTAACTTCTCCAGGCCTTGCCTGCCCCTCCAGTGCCAGATTCCTCCTGAAGGGCCCCCCACTGGCTCTGCCTTAAGTGTTATTAGGGAGGGGTACACCCGTTCTTCAGGGCATCCTTCCCCTCAGGTCCCACTGGGGGCTGGCCCTCCCTCAGTTCTAAACTTTTCATGGGGCTGCTTCTTAGTTTATGTTTTTATCTGTTCCCACCTCTTTTTTTTTTTTAAGATTTATTTATTTATGCATATAAGAACTGGGGTACAGGCCAGAGGTGCGGGGTGGGGGGTGGTGACAGGATTCACCAGAGACAGAGTGGGGAGCAGAACAGGCAGAATGACTGAAATACGCCGCTGAGGGGAGCAGCGGGCGAGTCAGGAGAGGTCTGCTGCACCATGTGGGTAGCCCCCTGGCCAGCCAGGGATCGAACTCATGCTGCAGAGGCTGCGGATAGCTTTATAGTGCTGTGCTCAACCCCTTGCACCACCAGGGAGGCCCCCTGTTCCCACCTCTTGAGGTGACAAGTGTGCTGTGGAAATGAACACTTTTATTTAACATAACCCACCCACTCCTCTCCTTTGCTCTTATCTCTGGAGACTTTCTCTTCCTCATTTTCCAACCCAGCTGGCGAGGGCCCCATGTGAAGGGGCCAGGCCCTAGTCCTGCTGAGTTCTCCCATAAGCCTGTGCATCCAGGTCTCATCACTGGTGTCACCTCCCACAGAGGGGGCCCTGGAGCTGCACACTCACCATCTCATCCCATCCCTACGCCAAGTGGTTTTCCAGGGTGATCGGCTGCCCTTCCAGTGCTCCGCCAGCTACCTGGGCAATGACACCCGCATCCGCTGGTACCACAACCGGGCCCCTGTGGAGGGTGATGAGCAGGCAGGCATCCTCCTGGCCGAGAGTCTCATCCATGACTGCACGTTTATCACCAGGTAACTCGCCCTGCTGCCCCTTCCCAGCCACAGCACAGTGTGGGGTGGGTGGTGGCAACCGTACCATCACCCCCCGCAAGAGAGTCATGTCCAGATGTGTTCCTTAGTGTGTGTTCATATGTGTAAGGGTGTACGCATGCGTGTGTGTGTTCATGGCGATCTAGGACTAAGTCATGAATGGTCTGGCTAGAGGACAGATATTAAACATTTGACAGATTATACTATATCTCACATTTCTTTAGTGCCTCTACAATGTATTTAGCAGCTCTCACCTATCTCATTGGATTTAATTTCTTTAATAGACCTGCAATGGTAATATTAGCTCCATGATAAAGATGGAGAAATTGAAGCTCAGAAAAACAGTATCATAAGTTCAATCAGAATTAAAGGAGTGTGTACTTATATCCCTTGATTAAGGATCAAAGAATGAAAAACTGGTGCCCTGCAGGCCCTTGGGTGGGGTGCCGTGGGGGGCCAGGCCAGGGCAGTAGGGAGGGTGGCCCCGCCAGAGTGCCTCGCCGAGCCAGCCCTCCGCCGCCCGCCTGCAGTGAGCTGACCCTGTCTCACATCGGCGTGTGGGCCTCGGGCGAATGGGAGTGCTCCGTGTCCACGGTCCAGGGCAATGCCAGCAAGAAGGTGGAGATTGTGGTGCTGGAGACCTCCGCCTCCTACTGCCCTGCTGAGCGCGTGGCCAACAACCGTGGGGACTTCAGGTTTGTCTGCTCTGCTGCCCCAGAGACCCAACACTGTCCCCAAACTGTCCCCAGCCCCCACCCTCGACCCCTCTTCTGAGACAGTGACCAGGATCTCCCCATCCACCCTGGCAGCTGAGTCCCAAATATGGAGAAAACACATCCTTTTGTCATTCAGCGCCAAGTCCTGCTGTTGTAGGGAGACCTTATCTTTTTGTATAAGATCACCATCTAAGATGTGCTGCAGAAATCAAAAAGTTTTTTTTTTTTTACAAAAATTTTTTATGCATATGAAAGCTGGTGTGCAGGCTGGAGGTGCGGTGGGTGAGAGGACCCACCAGAGACAGAGTGGGGAGCAGAACAGGTGGATCCACTGAAATACACTGCTGAGGGGAGCAGCAGGCCATACAGGAGAGGTCTGCTGCGCCATGCGGGTCAGCTCCCTGGCCAGGATCGAACTCTGGCTGATAATAGCTTCATAGTGCTAAGAATTAACCCCTTGAGCCACCAGGGAGGCCCCCAAAAGTTTTTAATTTCTCCCTTCATTAATAGTTTACAAAGCTGTCCCATCAAAGAATATCACATTTTAATATCCCAGCGACCCAGCGCCAAGTTAGGCAGGGTACTGTACAGCTAAACATGTCCAGGGCCCAGTGACAGCACTACCTGAGCAAACAGAACTGAAAAGAGGCGGAGTTTGGGAATCTTAAGGACAGTCCAAACCCCCACTTCCGAGTCCTTCTCCCAGGCACCAAGGGGAATCATCATAGTTCTAACTGCAGAAAGAGACCTTTGCCCTGAGGGGCCTGGGTTACCTGCAACTTTCAGCCTCTGCCCACAGGTGGCCTCGAACTCTGGCTGGTATCACAGCCTACCAGTCCTGCCTACAGTACCCCTTCACCTCGGTGCCCCTGAGTGGGGGTGCCCCCGGCACCCGAGCCTCCCGCCGTTGTGATCGAACTGGCCATTGGGAGCCCGGGGACTACTCCCACTGTCTGTACACCAACGACATCACCCGGGTGCTCTACACCTTCGTGCTGGTGAGGCCAGGAGAGGAGGGAGCAGGGGCAACCCATCGGCTCTGATCCCAGGAACAGCCAGGGAAGAAGCCCATGGATCCACGGGAGGGTCTCAGGGAAACTTCCCTCTAGGGTGCTCCTTGGGGATGCAGTGAGGGGCCGTGGGGCTGCATCTGGGCTTCTTCCCTAGCCTTCCTTCCAGTGAGTTCAGATCTACAGAGGCCGCACCAGGGAAGTGTGGGCTAGAGCACTTTATCCCCCAACACATCAAGGGCAGCCTTAAAGGGGAAATCAGGGAGAGCACCAGGGCGTCCCATTGTCCTGAGGCCAGTGGCGCTAAAAGCCAGCTGCCTTGAGTTGTGATGAGCTCATTGCCACATACAACCTCCTGTCTTGATTAGACCCAGCTGGTGGGCTAGACACCTCTCCAGGCTCCGCTGCCCTGAGTATCGGCACAGAGGAGGGGGCCCCCTAGGGGCAGTTCTCAGAGAGAAGGAGCAAGACTGGAAGATCCTTTTTCTTTCCCCAACACCTTCAGATGCCCATCAATGCCTCCAACGCTTTGACCCTGGCCCACCAGCTGCGAGTGTACACAGCTGAGGCTGCCAGCTTCTCAGACATGATGGATGTGGTCTATGTGGCTCAGATGATCCAGAAATTTTTGGGTTATGTTGACCAGATCAAAGAGGTGAGATTCAACTGGGCTCTGGGGCCCCTGTAAATCCCCCCAACCTGCCATTTGCTCAAGCTTTTCATTCCCCAACCCCCCAACCTCTGAGGCCTAAACCCCACTGCTGCCCTCAGTGACTTCTCTGCCCATCCCAGCTAGTGGAAGTGATGGTGGACATGGCCAGCAACCTGATGCTAGTGGACGAGCACCTGCTGTGGCTGGCCCAGCGCGAGGACAAGGCCTGCAGCGGTATTGTGGGTGCTCTGGAGAGAATTGGGGGGGCCGCCCTGAGCCCTCACGCCCAGCACATCTCTGTGGTAATGTGGGTCAGCTGGATGGGAGCTTCTGGGGGCAGGGCTTAGCACTAGGAGGGAGCTTAAAGTGGACAGGGGCTTCCCTGGTCACCCAGGAAAGAAATACTTCTCCCAGGCAGCAAGTGTTCCAGGTGTACCTGCCAGGTACCCAGCTGGCAAGAAAACCAAGCATGGCTAAGTTCCCTGTTGTGTGGAATCAATTTCAAGTTGTTAAGGGCAGTACGGAGAGAAGAGAGAGGCAGCTAATGCTGGAGAAGGCAGGGAACCGGGTTGAAAGCTAGCCCAGTGGGGATAAAAGCGTAAGAGAAGGAATTGGAGGAAGGCTAGTGGTAGGGGGCAGCACTGTGATGGTGACTCCAGTTCCCCAAGATGAGGGTGACATTGCTGATGGTGGAGGCTTGAGCCAATTAACAGCCACAGCAGAGCCTCTGCTCCTTTGGGAGACAGAGGAAGTTGGACATGGGCCCTGCTCTCCTACTTATTTGGGGCAGCAGAACTAGTACGAGTCAAGAAGTGAGAGATGCAAGTTAGTGAGCAGGAGGAAGGGACTTAGGAAGAAGGAAAAGGTGCTGTGGCTTGGGGTGAGGAGACTCCATGGCAGGTGTCAAATCACCAAGCCTTGAGAAGACAGAGAGGAATAAAGAAAGAGGGGAAAATCTGCAGAAAGGGACTGTGCAGTGTCCAGCAGGAGAAGGCCAAGTGATGGCCGCCAAATCTCAAATGGTGAGTGACAAGTTCCCTGTCCCCAGAACTCAAGGAACGTGGCATTGGAGGCCTACCTCATCAAGCCCCACAGCTATGTGGGCCTGACCTGCACAGCCTTCCAGAGGAGGGAGGCAGGAGTGCTGGGCGCTCGGCCCGCTGGCTCTGGCCAGCATCTATCACTGGAGCTGGAACCACTGGCAGATCAGCAACTTCGCTTCCGCTGCACCACCGGGAGGCCCAACATTTCTCTGTCATCCTTCCACATCAAGGTGGGCACTTGGGGTAGGGGGAAAGAGAACAGGATGATGCTAAGGAGGAAGGTGTTCAGATGCAGGTGCCTGGTGGGGGTAGGGGTGTGGGATGAGAGGAAGCAGAACCCAGATAAGAGGGTGGGCAATGGGAGGAGGGGGCTGTAAGACATAAGCACCCCAGTGGATCCTGGGTGTCCCTGAGGAACTCCTATGTCCCCCCAGAACAGCGTGGCTCTGGCCTCCATCCAGCTGCCGCCCAGTCTGTTCTCATCTCTTCCGGCTGCCCTGGCTCCCCCAGTTTCCCCAGACTGCACCCTGCAACTGCTCGTTTTCCGAAATGGCCGCCTCTTCCGCAGCCACGGCAACACCTCTCGCCCTGGAGCTGCTGGGCCTGGCAAGAGGCGTGGGGTGGCCACTCCAGTCATCTTTGCGGGAACCAGTAAGGGAATGAACTCCCCACACCTCACGGGATCCTCCCAAGTGTCTGCCCTGTGCCCCTTCATCCTGTCCTTCCCTTGCCCGCAGCGCCCCCTAATGCCTGATGGAGTTGGCACTGGATAGTGGCCCCTCACCATTTCCAGGGAAGATGGGGAAGAGAAAAGGTTCAGGAAGGCACTGGATTTTATATCTCAGAGTTGCCAAAATTCAAAAGGGCTATATGGACGAACACTCCACCCACCTTGGTCTCTCTCCATCCCACCTTCCTCACCTGGTGTCAACTTCCCCTCCCCAAATCCTTTCTGCACCTTCTATTTTTTTGACCCTGAACACCCAGGCCCAGAGTCCTTTTAGGGTGCAATGCTCACTTGGCATAGGGCAGGCCACCTCTCAGTGCTTGTATTTTGATTCATCCCTGTGTCTCCCCATTAGACCGAAAACCTAGAGGGCAGGCCCTCGCTGATGTCACACCACATCCCCCAAGGCCAGCACAACACCCTGCTGGGTGGGTGTTCACTGCAAGCTGGGCGGCTACTGCTGAGTCCTGCAGAGCCAGCCCAGAAGGCCTGGGGCCTATCTGTGTGACCTTCCCCCTCCCCATAGGTGGCTGTGGCGTGGGAAACCTGACAGAGCCAGTGGCAGTGTCACTGCGGCACTGGGCTGAGGGGGCAGAACCTGTGGCAGCTTGGTGGAGCCAGGAGGGCTCCGGGGGGCCCGGGGGCTGGAGCTTTGAGGGCTGCCATCTCCGTTCCAGCCAGCCCAAAGCCAGCTCTCTGCACTGCCAGCACTTGGGCAACGTGGCTGTGCTCATGGTGAGTGTCATGGGGCTGGGGGCAGGGCGGGCAAGGCAGGAAGGACTATATACCAGGTGGGGGCAGAGAACTATGATCACCTGGGGCCACAGAGAAATACAGAAAGGACAGCAGCCTCTCAGGCCTCCCAGTTGTCAGGACTCATGGGGAAGTGTCCCTCAGGTCTCCCCCACAACTTTTCATCTTTTAGGAACCAGGGAGATAGGCCAAGACACCAAGGGTCAGCCTCTGCTCTGGCTTTCCAGTCCTCACTTCCTTTTTCCTACTCTTGCCAGGAGCTGAGTGCTTTCCCCAGGGAGGTAGGGGGCTCAGGGGCAGGGCTTCATCCAGTCGTGTACCCCTGTACAGCCCTGCTGCTGCTCTGCCTGTTCTCCACCATCATCACCTACATCCTCAACCACAGGTGGGCACTCCGGTGGGGAGGGAGGGCCTGGTGGGAAGGCCACGGATCTCACTAAGTACTGATTATGTTCCTTTCCCAGGTGGGGCCACATGACTTGCCCAGGCTTTTGCCTTCTTATTTATTGGCAGGTTCTGGGGTTGGAAAACACACTTTAAGGGTCAAGTCCTTCCTGCCCCAGGGCCTCTATCACATTCATACACATACCACCTGCATGCACACAGATATCTGCCTTCCCCCTTTGGCAGATACCCCAATGGCCTTGATACCCCAAGGGCCTGACCTTGGGTAGCCCAACTGTTACTGTTGGTATCTGTTTCTGGAGTAGCTCCATCCACGTGTCCCGGAAGGGCTGGCACATGCTGCTGAACTTGTGCTTCCACATGGCCATGACTTCTGCAGTCTTTGCAGGAGGCATCACACTCACCAACTATAGGATGGTCTGCCAGGCGGTAAGCAGAAGGGACTGGGGTGGCAAGTGGCATGAGGGGGGCTCCGAAATTAGTGTTCATAACCTATACACAGAGTAGGGAGGTACATAAGAAGAGAAAAAGGTGGTTCATGCTAATAGGTGCAGCTCCACAGTTCTGTGTTCTGCTTTATGGGGGATGGGAGGCATGAGAATAGAGGTGTCAGAAGCAGAAAAACTAGGACAGTGGTGACTGGCAGTGGAGGGAGGTAGCAACAGCAGGGTCATGGAGAATTCCCCAAGTGGGAGAAAAACCTGGGGTAGGAAGAGGGAGGGTAAGAGCGGGGACAGAACCTTGGAGAGGATCTGGGTGGAGGTGGGGGTGGGAACATAGGAGGAGTGGGAGACCACTGTAAGGCTGAGACTCTGGGATGGTCCTGGTGATGGCAGCTGGGTCCCCCAGTCTCAGTGACCTGACCCCACAGGTGGGCATCACTCTGCACTACTCCTCATTGTCCACACTGCTCTGGATGGGAGTGAAGGCCCGTGTCCTTCACAAGGAGCTCACCTGGAGAGCACCCCCTCCACAAGAAGGGGACTCTACCCCGCCCGCTCCCCGTCCCATGCTCCGGTACATGCTTCCAGTTGTCAACTTTAAGTGGGGGAGGGCTTAAAAGGGTGGGGGAGGGTTCCGGGTATTTGTTCTCCCAGGGTGGATGCAGGGTGGGTCTGAGGTCCGAGGAGATCACTCTCCAGAGGCAGAAGAGCCAAGGCCTATGTGGCATGGAGTGGGCACATCCTTAGAGATTTTCAGACACGACAGAGCCAGGGAAGGAAATAACTTCAAAAGGCACTAGGCAGGGATCCTAGGAACCTGAGCGGCAACCCTAACTTCCACACTGTTTAGAATAAGAAAGGGCAGTTCTGACCTCTGTCCGGTAAAACACTCTCAGCCAAGTCCCATAGGGACCCACTGGGTTGCCCTAGTGGCCTGTAATCCCCAGCAAAAACTTTTGACAAAGTTGAAGGCGAAAGAGGATGGGGCAGAGACCCTGAGGGTTCTGAGCACTTGATCCTCCCCTCTGGTTTGTCATCTCTCTGACCCCCCAAACCCCATTCCTCTCCAGGTTCTATTTGATCGCTGGAGGGATTCCACTCATTATCTGTGGCATCACAGCTGCTGTCAACATCCACAACTACCGGGACCACAGCCCCTAGTGAGTGCTGCTACTGCTTGCCCTGAACCTACCCGCCGGGGCGCCAGGAGTCAGGAGTCTTCTACTCCACTGGCAGGGGCACCTCCCAGACCCCCCCAGCCAGTGACCCAACCCACGTCCATGCATGTCTCTGCCTCTCCACTCACTATAACCTATCTCCCCAATTACCCAGCCCGCTGGCCTCCTCCAAGATGCTCCCCCTCCTCATCCACTGCATGTGTCTCCCCTCAGCTGCTGGCTGGTGTGGCGTCCAAGCCTAGGAGCCTTCTACATTCCCGTGGCTTTGATTCTGCTGATCACCTGGATCTATTTCCTGTGCGCAGGGCTGCGCTTAAGGGGTCCTCTGGCACAGAGCCCAAAGGGGAGCATCAATAGAGTCTCCCTGGAGCCAGGGGAGGAACTGAGGGGTTCCACCAGGCTCAGGAGCAGTGGCCCCCTCTTGAACGACTCAGGTTCCCTTCTGGCTACTGGAAGTACCGGGGTGGTGACACCCGGACCCCCGGAGGATGGTGATGGTCTCTATTCTCCCGGAGTCCAGCTGGGGGCGCTGGTGACCACGCACTTCCTCTACCTGGCCATGTGGGCCTGTGGGGCTCTGGCCGTGTCGCAGCGCTGGCTGCCCCGGGTGGTGTGCAGCTGTCTGTATGGGGTGGCGGCCTCCGCACTAGGCCTCTTCATCTTCACCCACCACTGTGCCAGACGCAGAGACGTTAGGGCCTCCTGGCGTGCCTGCTGCCCCTCTGCCTCGGCCCCCCATGCCTCCCCCAGAGCTGTGCCCGCTGCCCCAGAGGACGGCTCCCCTGTGTTCGGAGACGCCCCTTCCCTCAAGTCCTCCCCTAGCGGCAGCAGTGGCCACGGTCTGCCCCTGGGCCCCTGCAAACTCACCAACCTGCAGTTGGCCCAGAGTCAGGTGTGTGAGGTGGGGGTGGTGGCTCGCGGGGAAGGGGATCCCGAGCACACGGGGTCCCGGGGGAGCCTCACCCCCCGCCACCCCAACAACTTGCACCACGGCCGCCGAGTGCACAAGAGTCGGGCCAAGGGGCACCGCGCGGGGGAGGCAGGAGGCAAGAACCGGCTCAAGGCCCTGCGCGGGGGCGCGGCGGCTGGGGGGCCCGAGCTGCTGTCCAGCGAGAGCGGCAGCCTGCACAACAGCCCGTCCGACAGCTACCCCGGCAGCAGCCGCAACAGCCCGGGCGCCGGCCTTCCGCCGGAGGGCGAGCCCATGCTCACGCCGTCGGAGGGCAGCGACACCAGCGCCGCGCCCCTCTCCGAGGCGGGCCGGCCGGGCCAGCGCCGCAGCGCCAGTCGCGACAATCTGAAGGGCGGCGCGCTGGAGAAGGAGAGCAAGCGCCGCTCTTACCCGCTCAACACCGCCAGTCTGAACGGCGCCCCCAAGGGGGCCAAGTACGACGACATCACCTTGACAGGCACCGAGGCGGCCGGGGGCGGCTGCATGAAGACGGGCCTCTGGAAGAGCGAGACCACCGTCTAGGGTGGGTGGGGCGGCGCCTGAGGACAGGCTGGCCGCTGGCCTGATCCGACCTCTCGGTGGCCCTCAAAGACGTCGACCGGTACGCCACAGGTTTGATGCAGAGGTGCCCACGGCTGCATTCAGGCTCACCAGCTTTAGTCCTAGAGGCTAGGGAAAGGACAGGCAGAGGCCTACGGCTACCAAAAGGGCCATTCCTCTGGGGTAGCAACAGACAGTCCCAGAACCACAGGCATGAGCCATTTCTGCCCCAGCCCTGGCTAGTTTGGGCAGTCAAGTTGCCAGTGCCATCCAGAGTAAGGGATAGGTCCTGGCAGCCTGTGGAGTGCCAGCAGAGTGGACAGCCACAGTCCAGCCCGGGTGGGCTCCTTTCCAGGTACTCCCCACGTCTACCCACTCTGCCTCACTGGAGGTCACCAGGCTCATCAGGAACAGGATGGCAGCTTGAGAACTGTGTTCCCTCACTGCCCTCTGAAGACAGCTGTGCCGAGACCCTAGAGCCTCCCCCCTATACAGTTTGTGGCTAACTAGGGAGCCAGTCTAGCAGATGAGCCAGGTGACCAGAACCATTGGAGTTAACAAGGTGCTGCTGTTCCATTAACTATGCAAGAGGGGATAGTGGGGGCAGTGTGAAAGGCAGCTTCGGAGGTGAACTAGTCCACTAAAGGGGGGCAGGTGTAAAAGGGTGCAGTGGGATGCCATTCCCCCTGGAGTGGCACATAAACTACCCAGCAGGGCTTACAGGTGGCACTTCAGGACAGATGCAAGGCCCTCTACCTAAGCAGCCAACTCTGCCATGTACATGAGAGCAGCAGAGTAGTGCTTAGATCTGGGGCTGAACTGTCCTATAAACAATGCCCCCAAGAGAGGTCCCATGGCAAGGGTGCAGGTGGTGGTGTAGAAGCACTTACTGTTCAATTATAAGACCCATATCCCGTCCCATGTCTCTGAACACCATGGGACTGAGGAAGAGCACTTCCCTGCCTCCAGGAGGCCATTTGGAAGAACACTCCCCACAGTTTGAGCCTCTAGCTCCATATTAGGGAGAAACCTCCCAAACATCAAAACCAGCTTCCTGCCTCACAGAAGCCCAAGCCAAATCCCTTGAGGCAGTAGGTGGGGTCCCTGCAGCTCACCTGGGGCCCATGCCTTCAAGATTTTTAAATACCAGCATTCACATTTTTCCCAACTTAAAAGCAACCACCAGCCATTTACTATAGGACCCAATGAAAGTGGAGGGAAACTTGGACTTATGAACAACAGGAAAACTAGGCCTGGGCCAGGCCCCCTCCCCAACTGTATGCCTCCCCTCCCCCCAGTCTGATCACCAAGGCAAAAGACATAGGAGAGGGGAGAAAACCCACTGGCCCAGAGGGATCCTGTTATTTATGCTTGCTGCACAGACAATATTAGACAGAGGAAAAAAAGCTTTGTATTATTCTTCCACATATGCTGGCTGCTGTTTACATACCCTGCCAATGCCTTAGCACTGGAGAGCTTTTTGCAATACGCTGGGGAAAGGGGAGGGAGGGGACATAAGTGCCAAAGAAAACATGTTTTTAAAGGCTCGGGTTTTATACAATAGAATGTTTTCTAGCAGATGCCTCTTGTTTTAATATATTAAAATTTTGCAAAACCCTTTAAGCTATAACTCTAGTCCACCCACGGTCCTTTTGTTATGAGGTAGAGGATATCATGACACCACACACAAGCCCACCAACACCTGCAAAGGGACACAGGCCCAGAGTCTCCCAGTTCCTCGGAGGGTTGTTAGCAGGAATGCCAACTGTCCCACGCCAACAGGGAGGCCCCATCAGGCCTGCAGCTGCAGTGTGTCCAATTCAAACCAGGAGAGCCTGCCATTCTCCCCGTCATCTAAGGAAAGCCATCCCACAGAACATGCATATATGCAACTTGCTCTCTGACACCCAAGGATGGGACTCTTCCCAACCCACCTGTCCCAGCATTCCCCGACTGCTACTGTAGGACCTGGGGTGCAATGAAATGGTCCCTTTAAACAAGAACTCACACAGACTCATTACTCTGGATATGACAGGCCTATGATCAAACTGCTATAAGAATGGGTGAGGTACCACCAATGAATGTACATTATGGAGGGTTAGAAACATTTGCGACAGCCTGTCTAGCAGCTTGAGCCCTCTGAAAGTCCCTCACTTCCTGAGGGGTACGCAGATACTGCTCTATTTCACTATCAGAAATGTTCTCATCACCAGTGATTGTGGAGACAGAGGGTGGGGGACAGACCCGCTTTGGGGGCTTCAACATGCAGGGTGGCAGGAGAAGGGCAGGACTAGGTGGTCGCTTTCCCTCAGGCAAATCTAAGGAACTACTTCCCACCTCCTCTTTTCCTTTTTCCTGTCCTTGCCCCAGTCCCTGAGGCTCCCCCTTCTGGGACTCCGGCTCTGCTGTTCCATCCCGAAAGGCCTTGCGGACCAATGTGTGGCGGTGCTGGAGAAGGTCATCAATGTGCTTAACCACAGACCGTTTGTTGAGTTTCAAAACCTGCAACCAGGCCAGTTGCTCTGCCATCTGCAGCAGCACAGCCAGCAATTCCTGCAAGCGGGAGGAAGCAGGGTAGGGCAGATCCACATTGGCCAATTTACAAAATCGGGCAAGGGAACATGTGAGACGATCTGAAGGCTGCAGTGACTGCCAAGCCAGGAAAGTAGCAGCAGTGATCACAGGCAAGGGATGCCGCCCGGTGACCAGCCACGTCTCGTCTGCCAGCTCCACCAACTGCAATGTTCGTGACAGCATCTTCTCCTTGTCTTCCACGTATTTGGCTGGCACAGAGGGGGAGGCCTGGAACAGTCTGAAGCTGAAACAATCAAAATGAGGGTCTGGTCTCAATGACTATAGGAAGCGTCTCTTCCAAAGTGAAGAAGAGCAGTCTACCCAAGAATGGGAAGCTTTTCTATCCCCTCCTCCTGAACACTCAAGCTTGCTGAGTAGCAGGTTTATACAGGTGCTGCAAGCAGACAGGGTGAGTCTTCTGCTTGTGAAGGGCAGAAGAATGTAGAAAGGAGGTAACATATCTTTGGCACCCTTCCTCCCCCATCAGCTATTATTCTGAGAGCTTTAAAATGTTCTCCTCTAGTCTACTCTGTACCTTGAAAACCTTATGGGTAGTCATCCAAGAAGGAAATAATCAAACTCCAGGCCCCAGACTACTTGATACCAACAGTCTTTGCTTCCTACTATAGTCATCAGAAAAAGAATAGGATGCAACTACTTAAAAAGATTGAGTGGGATTAGTTTCAAACTCTAGCCTGTTATTTACTAATATTCTTTCAATTCTATTTGTAGACTGTCCTAATAAAGTAGGACTGTAGTCTCACAGGCTACATACAACATGAGCAGTGTGACTGACAGCCCTGGGCCAAGGCTAATACACACTTTCCTTACATCATTAGGTTGCTATGAGGGCAAAGGGATTTGTAAATTACATTCTACAAATGTAAAATGGGATTAACCTTATTAGTATTAGGAAGAGGAGAGCAAGAATTGGTTTTTCTCCCACACCTTTTAGATGGGCTTTGGTAAAAAGGAGATAGTTGAAGATAGAAGGATTCAAGCCTAAGGAGCCGTGTCTCCTCCTAGACAGTACCTGCTACAGTAGGTCTTCACCAGGTCTGCCAAGCACAGAGATGGCACATCCAGCCCTAGAAGCTTGACTAGCTGCAAGTAGGTGCCAGAAAATACATCCAAATCTGCATACAACAGGGTGCAGATGGTTCCCATGGTCAGGGGCCAGTTATGCTGCCGGCAAGTGATTAAGACACAGCACCCAACCAACACCTCCTTCTTTTGTAGCCTGGCAGCCCGGATGCCAGAGTGTCGGTATGCCTGTTGGTAATAGGCAACTGCTGTGTCTTCAAATGTTGATGGCAACTGCAGAACTCGACAGAGATCTCTCACTCGGCGGAGGCCTAAGAAAATCCACAGCAAAAGTTACAGAGGTCAAAGGAGCTACCTGTGCAGGTCCCATCAATTTCTGCTAAACTTGCCTCCAATACCAGATTCACAAATAACTCACCTTTCTATAACTCACAGTAGACGAAATAATACTGAGCTCATTCTAAAGGCATAAAGAAATTTGTAGAAAGAAGTCACATTTTAGTCCACCAGCTTTTGGAGACTTTGATTCGAGTCAATCCAAAATTTTGAAGTAGGCTCAATGAGTCTATATCAAACACACCCCCTGAACAAAAATACAAACTTTGTACTGAATTGCTACTTCTCTTAGCCATCCTTTATTTCAAATTACTATTCTCTTCTATGCTATCTTACACAATAACGCTGAAAACAGGGAAAACAAATAGATGGACTGGATCATCAAAATTTTCTTTAAAGTCCCAGCGACACCAAAGATCATATCTCACCTCGTTGCTGGCTGCGACTAACTTGTTCATTTTCCCCTGTGCTTCGGGAATATGTTACTTCTGTAAAACAATGGACAAGTAGGTTGTTTAGCCATTATTCAGTGGACCCCAACCCTTCCACCACACAAAGGAGAATTCAAATCATTAGGCATCCGCTCCCTGTCTCACAGAAGGCCCAGGTCTATGCACTTAAAGGGCTATCTGTTTTTCTCCGCAAGCTGTATCAAATATACAGCTTGAGGAGCTTAGGACTGCACCACAGCAGCTCCAAGCATTTCGACAGTCCCTCGTGCGAGTTCAATAAGGGCAATTTTCCTGGTGCCAGATTTTGAGGACTGAACTGGTCAGGGTCTCAGGAAACAAAAGAAAAAGTGTTTTAGCCAATGCTAAAAATTACTTCGGAGTAACAGTATTTGCTGTGAAAAGAAGTGGCCCACCGTGACCTGACTAGGTAACGTCGTTACCAACGTCGTTCCACTCCTTGTTTCATTTACTGTACCTACTATATATGTCAGCTACCGCAATAGGTGCTAAACACACAAATGAATGGCACCCCTCGTTCACTTTACGCCGTCTTCTCCTTATCTAAACGGACATGTGACAATGAAAGGAAGGCAGATTAGAGGCATCTGATGCCAATCCCGCCACCGCACCAGGCGGTCCCCAGGCTCTGAAACGCTGGCACAGGTACCTCGGAGGTTGCCCTCGTCGCTGAAGGTGGTGGTAAGGGTCCCCTCGGTGACCACGCAGCCGCAGTCGGAGCAAACCAGCTGGCTCTGCGAGTAATGTGAGTCTTCCACGAGCTCAGTGGAGCCGCAGTCGGGGCAGCGGCCTCCGGCCGGCATCTCATAACCTGGCCAGTGCTGCAGAAACTATCGGGTCGCCCCCTACGTCGGTAAAAACCACAGTACGTAGAACTAGTAGGGGAAAGTTCTAAGCGCTGCACCTCCTTTTTCCGGCCAGAGCGATCGCCGTATAGGTACGCAGCTCCCTCTTCCCTGCGATCGCGCACCACTTCCGGTCCATTTTTTTTTTTTTTCTTTTGGACTCGGGTAGAAACATGAGTTAAGAGAGAAGGTTCCTAGTTGGATTGCGTCTCCGGTTTCCGGCTCTCTGGAATTAGTTTGAGGTAAGCCAGGCGGGGAGTTGAATTTGAGTTATCTTCTTCCTGTGGACACGGGTAACAGAAAAGAAACTGTTGTCACGCCCAAACAATTCTTCGTTTTACGGAGCTAGAGGACTCGCAGGTTTTCCCTGTATCTTTGGTAATGACTCTTGGGTTAGGCCCTAGGACTCAGTATGTATATGAGGGTCGTGTAGTAAGAGTGCAGGAAACTGCTCTGCTTTCCAAGCGGCTTCCCCAGGCAAGGTGTTTCCTCCCTTCGCAGTCTGTTTTTCTTAACTCTAGAATGAGGGAATTGAATTGAAATCCAGAGTTGCAAACTCAAATGCTTTCAGCGACTAGGCAAGGAAATGTATTTTTAATGCTGGGACAAAGAATCAAAATGACAGTGGTAACTAACTCTTGCCAGTGGGAAATTTAGGATTTCACTTTGAGCCAACAATGAGCATGTATGACATTATTTAGAAAAATTAACAGACCAAGGGTGCAGAGAGGGAAATGGGGGGGATTGGGGAAGAGACACTGCTCCTCCAGAGACAAACACAAGAGGACTTTGTGTGGGATCCCCCGCCCTCCTTGTTCTCAGGGTTATTTTCTTGGTACCCAGAGTTCTTGCTAGTCAGCTAGGCATACAGTCAGGCAGGCAGCCTCTCACCAAGGATAAAAGCCCTGGAATGAGGAACATATTGGGAAACTAGTTTCTGCTGAAAACAGCAGGCAGATATGGCCAGATTAGCAAAATGAGCTAAAATACCTTACTTGAAAGGAATTAGCAGAAAGTTAGGTAAGAATAGAGAATAAAGGACTTCCCTGGTGGCGCAAGGGGTTAGGTCTCAGCACATGAAGCTACCCGCAGCCACTGAAGCACCTGTTCGATCCCTGACCAGGGAACTAAACCACATTGCCCAGCAGACCTCTCCTGTCTTGCCTGCTGCTCCCCTCAGCAGTGTATTTCAGTCAATTTGCCTTTTCTGTTCCCCACTCTGTCTCTGGTGAATCCCCTCACCTGCCACACCTCTGGCCTGTACCCCAGTTCTTGTATGCATAAATAAATAAATGTAAAAAAAAAATAGAGATAATATGCTCTGACTAGCAGGAGCAATAGAGGTCCCCAAGCAACAGCTCCTGGTCACTGCACCCTAGCTTATATCCCTATAAACACATTCCTCACTCACGTGCGCTCCCTACGTACTTCCCCCACCTTTGTACTTGATTCTAATAAATATGAGTCTGCCTTTAGATTGGGACTGCACATTACTTTCCTGTGTAGTCCCTCTTGGCTTCTCATTGCTCCAAACCTATTCAGACTTTGAGTAATGATTTATACTTCCAACACTGCTGCTCTGTGAGGCAGCAACTTTGCACTACCTGAGGAGGCAAGACAAGAACCTGAGGCCACCTGATAGAGACAGCAGTTGCCTAGGCAGCCCCTGGACTTGCAGGTCTTGACAATCTCTAGCTCACCATCTGGAATTTAGGGAAGTTCACTTCTTTTTATGCTGTTCATTTAGCCTACTATCATTCCCTTTATTTTCCTGCTATTTCTTAAAACTTTCAGCAGCTGGGCTGAAGGGACTCCAAAGATAGGAGGTGGTTGTACCCTTCAGACTAGAGTTTGAGAGATACAATAGCTGGCCCCTATGGACTGGGTTTGGAGGATGAGAACTCCAAAAGCAAGGGGAATGAATCTTAGAGGGGAAAGTTGCGGTCATTTGCATAAACTTTCCTTATTTGGAGACTCTCATTCCAGAGGTTTTTGTGTTTTTAATCAAACCTGAAGTTTTAAGAGAAGCTGTTTTTTGTTTTTTTTTTTTAAATCACTTTACATGGTGGTTCCACCATTGATGTCCTCTTGAAGTAACCAGGCCCTTCTGCTTAAACCAGGGAGGCTTCAGGGAAGCTCTCCATTCCACCCAGGAGCTCATGGCACTTCTTGCCTCTGTCCCTCTACCGTGTGACATATTTAAAAAAGGAAAAAGCATGTTCTTCCCTTCAAGGAGACAGGATCCACGAGACGTGGACTGTGGGTTTGAGGCAGGCAGACCTCTCCCCTCATCAGGGGTCCTAGAATTTGGGAGAGGTAAGCTCAGGAGTGTACAACCTCTACTCAGAAATGATGAACTATATTGATGGCTCCCAAGATCTGAGTGGTCTTCAAGCCACTGGACATTCAAATTATGCCTACAGTGAGTATTTTACTTTTGGGGAAATGAGAAGCAGGGGGAAGGGAAATCAAGGAAGGGGCCTTGTTTATTCATTCAGCCAAAGGCACCTACTGCCAAAAAAAAGGCACAGCTTATACCTCTGAGGGCAGAAAATTCAAATTATGTCCATCTGATAAAAGGCCATGGTCCCTGTAGGCAGAATGGTGTATCACAGGGAAGAGATTTGAGATGTCCCGTCCTCTCCAGGAGACAGGGCACTGGGACCTTGGGCACTTGGCAGCAGGAGGAATGCAAATGAGAGACCCCTCAGAGGGTGAGAAACACCAGTACCTCCCAAGAGAGTTGTTCCCATAACAGAGAAATTTTTATTATACCCACATGAAACTACAGACACAACTCTTTAAAAGGCAGTACCATTTTATTTAGTGTTATAGGAAACTTCATGTTACTTCTTAGAAACAAAACCAAAGAAATTGAAAACTCCCAAATAACAAAGTAGGAAATAATTCTTTAATTCAAAAACACTGGGTGGTCCTTCAATTGGAGGGAAGAAGAGGTCAAGTTAGTAGCTCATAAAATGTTGAGAACCACAGGGTTGAGGATGGTGTGGCTACTAGGAAGCTAAGTTCTCTATCTTAGTTGAAGGTTCTCCACCTTTCAGTTTTCATTCATTAGTAGTTAAAAAAAAAAAAAAAAAGGCTGATTGGGAGAAGGGATCTTTGGGGGAAGACCCCTGCATAATTTAACATTAAATTGTCTCTTGCCTTCAATATAGTTATGTGGCTAACTGTCAAGGACCTTCTGCTCCCTCTGGTAAAAAAGCTTGAAACCACATACAGGTATTCCATCCATGTGAGCACACCCCCTGCTCAAGGTCAACAGCTGTTCAGCCTGGCAAAGGGCAGACTTTCTTGCTCCTCCATTCTGTCACCCTGATGAGGTTAACACATAGGACTAAAAGGGGGGGCGGGGCAGGACATCTGTCAAAGTCCAAGATATGAGATGATATGAAACAATCAGGCAAAGGATTGTCATTTTATTCAGGAAGCTGTTTTCTCCAGTTGAAGTTCATTGCCAGGTGTTTAGTACTTATGGGTGCTTCCCTAAGTATACCGTGCTCTTTCTGGAGGCAGTCGATCAAGACCAAGAAAAGGGCTGCTCCTGCTTCTCAGATGCAGCCTCATCCTGGGGCCCACCAGTTAGGTTGGCATTTACAGGAACAAGAGGCAAGTCCTTGCTCTCCTCGTGCAGATGGGTATATGTCCTCAAACATATGCCTGTTAATGGAGCTCAGCACCCTGATTCCCCAGCCTCTGCCAATTGGTCAGAGCAGGCAAAAGTTTTTCTTAGGTAAATTCTCCTCTAAAGTGGAGTCCTCAAGAATAGTTATTAACTAATGACCTACAAGTTATCTTATTATCTATGTTGTGAATTGCTGGAATTCTATAAATTCTTTTTTGTTCCCCAGTGGTAGAAGCCAGACACCCTTGAAGTAAATTGTCCTTCATTAGAGTTACCAAGTGGTGTTTCAGAGCACAGGAATTCACTCCTTTACCCAAATGTCCCTCTCAAATACTGACCAAGTTACATGTCTGAGCCCCTAGCAGCACATTTTCTCCAAACCAAACACCCCTCCTTACATAATGCAAGTCTCCACACCAGCTCATCAAAGGAGAGCTGCCCTCCGCCACCCCAGTGCACCTGGATTATCACAGTCAAAATACATTTATATGAAGTAAAAAAAGTATTGCTGAACAAATACATACATGGACATTTTCAGACTTCAAGTGAATATACAGTTCTCTTTATAGGTATGTAAATAAATTTCATAGCACTATAAAAATACAAGTCATCCGAAAGTTTACAGTGGTCCCCAGTACTATAGGAGAGTATTAAATAAAATAGCAATGGATCACTGAAAGCTAATTAGATAAATCGAGTTACAGTATCATCCTTCAGATTAAAGTGCTCCGACAGAACTGAGGTTGCAGCAAACATGGTCCTGAAATGGGATTCCGCCACCCAAAATCTTGCCTCTTAACATCAATAGAACAGAGACAAGATTCTCAGTTTAATCACTGCTATGGTCTCCACACCTATCCACCTCTATGCTTTCCCCCAGGAGAGATGTCTAGATTTGATGAGATTCTATAACAACCAGGATAAAAAAATGTACGATACAGAACATTCTAATTCCAACATTAGGTTACTAACAACAAAGTTACCCAAAGAATCCAAACTGGAATTGGCACTATTAAGAAAGGGGCAGGTGTTCTAGTTCAAAAATGTGTATTCATCTAGTTCTTAACATATAGTCATCCATGGTGGTAAAAGTGAAAGAAAGGGGTCCTTCTGTAGTCACTCCATGCCTGGGATAAGCACGTGAGTAAGTGCTCGGGCTGCCCAGCCCTTTATCAAGGTGCTGGCCAGGCCATCAGCCAGCAGGAACCCTGCCACCACAAGCAGGGGACTTCTGACCAACTTCCCCTAGTGCAAAGTGACTTCATTCCCTTGTTGTACTTTTCTCATCTCCACAAAGGTCCTCTGGGTGGATATAGAGCACCACTGTGATGCTGGATGGTGGTGGAAGCTGATGTTTAGTAAAGGTAGCTTGTTACAAGTCTAAAAGGCACAGTCAGCGGCTTTCCTGGAACTCCTCAGCTCCAGTCAAAGTAACAAGACCAAGTCTAAGGAGCCCAGTGTGTGTGTGTGGTATCAAAGGTTAGCATCTGTAGTCATTAAAGCTACACCTGAGCTATTCAAAAGTCAGGAAAGTAAGTAACACAGCACCAATTGCCTGGTCCTTCTCATTTCACCCAACCTTTAATGGCTAGGGGGATACATATTTTAAAATCTCCATAGCAAACTCCAATGTTAAACTACATTCACGCCTTGGGTGCCACCCGAATCTCTGGACCAGGATCAGATCTCATGGCCATATCTCCAGTCAGGGCACAAAATATTTACAACATAGTTAAAGGCACAGAGGCATTTACAAATAAAATCCTGGGAATGTACAGAAAAGGCATCAAGTAATAATTAACCTGGTTTCAGTGGACAGAATTGACTCTTATCAGATAACACGCAAGGGAGATGGTGATTTGGAGCCCGTATGTTGGTTATCAGGCATACCGAGTCCTTGACCTCAGGAGCAGATGGAAACAAAGTCTCAGTGTGACATGCTGGGGATTCACATCTTTCCAGCTTTTTTGCCCACCTGCGTGGGAACTCGGAGGATGTTGGGGGTTTCTTCCATGACCCTGACTAGCAGATTGTCGATGTAGTCTTCCAGCTCGCGAACCTGAAATTCCTTCTTACTTATTGTTTCCTTCTGTTTGAGGACCAGCTGAATCAGTTCATCATGGGTTAGCTGTGCATAAGCAAAACCAGGGTCCGAGGGGTTGTATTTCTTTGGGGAGGAAAAAAAAGGGGAGGAAAAAAATAAAGTCAGCATAGGAATCAAATATCTAAAAGAAATACAAAAAATGAAATATTATTTGTGAGCCAGTTTTTCTGGGAATCTGTTTTCAGTTTAGGTGGAAAACAGGTGATTGATGAAGTTTTCTTAAAGGACCAAAGTAACTATTTCAGGCTCTGCAGGTTATATGTGGCCTTTGCTCCATGTCCTTCTTTGTTGTATTGTTTGACTTTTTTTTTTTTTTAAGATTTATTTATTTATTTGTTTGTTTGTTTATACAAGCACTGGGTACAGTCAGAAGCATGGGAGGGTGAGAGAATTCACCAGAGCCAGAGCAGGGAGCAGAGCAGGCAGAAGGACCAAAGTACACTGCTGAGGGGAGCAGCGGGAAGCAGGCAGGAGAGGTCTGCACGCCATGCGGGACCCTCCTCCTGTGGCCAGGGAGCAGCCGGGGATCGAACCGGCGCTGCAGAGGCTGCGGGCAGCTTTGCAACCCAGCGCTCAACCGCTGCGTCACCGGGGAGGCCCTTGTTTGGCTCTTGGAGCTGCAGACCCTGGATAAGAACCTGGATCTGGGTTTTTGTTTTTCAAAGATTTATTTATTTATGCATGCAAGAGGTGGGGTACAGGCCAGAGGTTCCAGGGGTGAGAGGATTCACTAGAGACAGAGTGGGGAACAGAACAGACAGCTTGACTGAAATACACTGCTGAGGGGAGAGCGGGCAAGACAGGCGAGGTCTGCTGTGCCATGTGAGTAGCTCCCTGGCCTGCCAGCTGGGGATCAAACTCATGCTGTGCTGTAGTGGCTGCCGATTAGCTTCATAGTGCTGTGGATTGCTTCATAGTGCTGAGACAACCCCTTGCACCACCAGGGAGGTCCTGGATCTGAGGTTTTTAGAAATGCAAATATTGGAGGACTCAGCGCTAGGTGGGCACAAGCAAATTTCAGTGTGTAGCTGGGAGCCCAGACCCAAGCCAAGGTGGCCCATGAAGAAATTCTAGTGGTTGAGGTGCAGGAGTTGGTGATCTTCTCCTCCTCACACAACAGATCACCTTTTATACTTCTGCCTCAGCTACTCTCAGGATTTGGTGCTAGACTGATGAGTGGCTGCTCAGACTCCATTTTAAGTGATTTCATATTAAAAAAATATGCCAGGTGAAAGCTAAGTGCTGCCAGGCCACAGTCATCACCCTCAAACATCGATGGCACACCTTCTGGGTCCACAGTGGCCTGTGCCAGGACTAAGCGTCCACTCCATAGGAGAGCAGAAGCCCTAAGCAGTTACTGCATTTCACCAGCATAAATAATCTGGGATGACAGGACTCCATTTGCAAACTCCAGGCTGAGGCCAAAACCATGAGGAAACATAAGATAAGGATTAAATAAAAAGTAACATGACCTACCAAATCTCCAGTAAGAGGGGGAAACAAAAACAAACTAACTTTCCCTAAGATCTGTGGCTCAAGAGACTTATAAGTTTAAAGATACATGCCCACAGAACTCTGAGGCAACCTCTGTTTCACTGCCCTGAGGGCCTCATGGTCCCACTCAGGAAAAGGCAGAGAGATGGCCTTCTGAGCCAGAAGCAGAATCAGTCCTCATCCTCTGGTGACAGTATAGAAGGCCCTGTTGAGCCCAGTGACACAAACTGTCTACACACTCCCCAGAATTCAGAAAGAAACCCCACCCCTCTTCTGGTGAGGAAGAGAAACACCACAATTGCAGTGCTAGCTTAGAGACACGCACAGACATTTTCATATAGAGAGCAGGTTTTAGCTTAACAGGCTGCACAGAAATAGGTGTGATATTGGACCACTTTTCAAAAACTGCTTCTCCCTTCATCCTATTTTTTTTTCTTTTTTAAACTCATGGAAGACACACGTTGATAGGGCACCTCCCTGGATGCAGCAGCTGTATTTATAACTCCTAGAACGATTTTCAGCCAAAAGGTTGTACACCTGGAGAAGAGTTCTAGGGGTTGGTTGTGCAAATGTGAGTGTACTTACCAGTACTGAACTGAATGTTTAAAAATGATTAAGATGGTATTTTTATTTTACCATATATTTTTTTAAAGTTGTGTGTCTTTGTAAACAACAGCCAAGAGTATGGCCTCTGGGGTTTTTTAGATTATACCTCTATCACAGAAGAATTCTAGTTATTCAGAAATATTGATTACATAACATACCCTGCAAGGGACTTGGGAGATGGAAAGATGAAGAAGACAGATGACACAAGAAGGGAGGAGCAGGCTGGTTCTCCTTGAGAGCTGGATCACCAAAGAGTCTCACACAGTCGCTCTATTTGTAACTTCTAGAACAATTTTTGTCCAAAAAGTTGTACACCTGGAGGAGAGTTCTAGAGATTGATTGTACAATAATGTGAGGCAGGGGAGCCTGAATGACCATAACTCCAGGCTCACAGAGGCACAATGGTGCTCTAGGAGCTGCACTAGCAAGAGACCACTGGTGCACAGAAGGTCGGGAAAGCTTCAAAGATAGCATGACATCTGAACTAGACCTTGAAGATGGATTAAATATTAAAGAAATATTTGCTCATCATGGAAACTCCCAAATGCAAAAGAGAAGTAAATTATCATTACTCCAATACTTATACATGGGTCTCTTATTTTTGCTCCGTTTCTTTCTTTTTTTTTTTTAAGATTTATTTATGCACACAAGAACTGGGGTACAGGCCAGAGGTCTGCTGAGCCATGTGGGTAACTCCCTGGCCAGGGATTGAACTCATGCTGCAGTGGCTGCGGACAGCTTCATAGGTTGTGTCCCAACCCCCTGCACCACCAGGGAGGCCCCTTCCTGTGTTTATGCAACTTCAGCATCACAGAATACAGTTTCATAGCTCGTGTGTGTGTGTTGTGCGTGTGGTTTCTCATCATTATATTTTAGCACAAATCATGTAATGGATGCTTAAGATTCCATTATGTTTGTGTGTGTGTGTGTGTGTGTGTGTGTGTGTGTGGGTGGGTGAGACCCTCACCGGCGGCCGGGGAACGGAACCGGCGCTGCAGAGGCTGCGGGCAGCCCAGCGCTCAACCACTGCACCACCAGGGGAGGCCCAAGATCCTATTATGTTTTAACTATCTCTTCCTTGTTGGATATTTAGGTTATTTTTAATATTCACCATTATATAATATTTTTATTAAAATGCATGAATATAAATCTTTGGCCACATCTCTAAATATGTCCTTAATTTCAATGGATAGAATTGAAAAGGAATGTACACCTAAGGTACTTTATACAAACTGTCAGAGAGCTATTCAATTTGGGTTATAAAATTCAAAGGGAAAAGAATGTAGGGCTTGAAAACATCACATAATGAAGGCCCAGTCATTTGATGACTTAAAACTTATAAAATAATCCAGCATTACAGAAAGTGAGCAACAGTCATGGAGAGGAAGGGGGGAAAGAAAATATCCATTAAAAATACCCATTCAGGGGGCCTCCCCGGTGGCGCAGCGGTTGAGTGCTGGGTTGCGAAGCTGCCCGCGGCCTCTGCAGCGCCGGTTCGATCCCCGGCTGCTCCCCGGCCACCAGAGGAGGGTCCCACATGGCACGCAGACCTCTCCTGCCACCCGCTGCTCCCCTCAGCAGTGTATTTCATCAGTCTGCCTGCTCTGCTCCCCACTCTGGCTCTGGTGAATTCTCTCACCCTCCCGCGCTTCTGACTGTACCCAGTGCATGTATAAACAAAACAAACAAACAAACAAATAAATAAATAACATGCCTCTATTAAAAAAAAAAAAATTGAAAAAAAAATACCCATTCAGGGGCCTCCCTGGTGGTGCAGGGTTTTAAGATGCAGCACTATGAAGCTATTCGCAGCTACTGCAGCACAAGTTTGATCCCCAGCCAGGGAGGTGACCCACATGGCGCAGCAGACCTCCTGACTTGCCCGCTGCTCCCCTCACAGTATAATTCAGTCAATCTACCTGTTCTGGTCTCCACTCTGTCTCTGGTGAATCCTCTCACCCGCCCTCACACACTCTGGCCTGTATCCCAGTTCTTGCATGCATAAATAAATAAATCTTTAAAAAAAAAACCAAAATATATCCGTTCAAAAAACAACAGTGCCCATTGATCACATATTTCCTTCCAGTATTTTCACATTGGATTTTTTTTACATAGTTGTCATAATAATGATGTATATTCAAATTTGTGTCCAATTCTTGCCATTTATATGATAGATGAATTTTGAACCTAGTTGGTTGTATTATTTTTAAATGGAAGTGTTAAAGCCACCGGGGTAAATAATATACTCCTAGTTATAAATCACCTATAAAGGATGGAGGCCCTAAAACAATAGCCAAAAAAAAAAATCCATCTTAGTGGTGACCCAGCTAGTTTTTCATAATGTTAGCTATGCAACTTCTTTCCCTAATCTCTCTCTTACTTTGCAAAATTCCAAAGAGTATTTTTTCAATAAATACTGTTTATGCCTTAGTACAAAGCATATATTATATGCCAAGCCAACAGCAGTCTCCAGGAAACTTTCCATACTTATTCAGAATAGTTACTAGGTATGGTCTAAGATGAAGAGCTTTGTTGTGGGCAGGCAGAGGGGCAGCAGTTGCCTTTAATTTAGGGCAAGTTATTCTCAGTCAGGGCCTGGAGATAAGCCCCTGATTAAATGAGCTTTGAAGAGTAAACAAAACAGCAGCCAAGGGTCTTGTTCACTTCCCAAAAGCTAGGTGTCTGTTTCTCTTTGGAGCCAAGCTGCATTCCACAGTAAAAGGAAGAGAGGATGGAAGGTTGCTATATGTCTCCAGTTTTCATTATTGCCCATTTTGTGGTGTTCTTTGCCCATTTTCCCGGTAAATGTCATTAACTTCAGGAAGACAAGTACTGCCTCTTCTATGGGAGACACACAGAAGCCAGCCTAGCTGAGATGGTCAAGTTATGATACATTTTTCGGGACAAAACATAGTCGGTGCACACAGTAGCTATACCACTACAGCTGATTAGTTTGAGAATGA